GCTCTCCCCGCCTCCGCGTGACGTAGCCGTGACGCCAGACTGCGCCTCCGCGTCGTCACGAACCAGGGACGCAGCCCGACCTCCGCCCGCGCTTCAGTCCCGAGTGATTGGGGCGGGGGAAACTGTTACACACGCGCGTGGCGTCACCTCTCGCGCTCAAGACCACATATGATGTCATGCCAACCTCTCCCTAGCTGAGTGCGACGTCACACCGCCCCTTCCCTTCTGCTGCCTGCACGCGCCTCCAGCCCAGCTCAGGCTTTTTCAGCAGTACCCCAGCACTCCACAGGAGTAACTCTGATGCCGGTTTTTTTCAGCAAAAATCCACGATTACCACGATCCGCATGCAAAAACGGTAACGTGAAGGAAAACCCGGGCAGTCCTAGCCCATAAAGTTCTGACCACCCGTCAAAACAATGCCTCAGATACGCGAATTGGTCTCAACGACATAAGCGCAGCAAGTAAATTAAGGAAGAATTTGTGTTAAAACCCTCTAGTAACTGCACTGTACCCACAAAAAGATGCTGACCAAAGATAAGCAGCCTTAATTTAAGCTCTTCCCAGGTTTTCAGCCGACATAAATATCTGATACGCTTGTAACTATAAAAGCAGTAACAGAACACCTAACTTAGAGCTAATTCCACGGCGGAGCCCAACCACCGGGAGCCGTCCAAGGCTCCTCTCATAGCAGACGAAGTTACGCCGCGAACAGTCAGACGGTCCCGATCCTGCCGTTTGGTTGGTTGGTTTGCTACCGCATGTCCGCTACCGCATCAAATCTTCCCAAAGAGTTTAAAATTACTTCACTTGGGAAGCCAGCCGTGCCTGCTAAGGATCAGCCCAGACCCGCTTTTCCCACGCGCAACAGACAATAATCCTCCCCAATCCCGTTCTTCTTTCTGCCTCGGGCTAAATCCCACTGCATCATGCTATGTAACTTCTGTTCCTCCTTGGTACTTTGGCAGGAATCACCGAGATAATCATGGCCACACGGATATTAACTGTTTTCTTCCAAAAAACCCACCCCTAAACCCTGGAGTAATACAATGAGGACACAGAAAACAAAAAAAGCACAGGAAAGCTCAGAAAAAAGGATTGCACCAATCTAGAAAAGTAGATGAAATCTGAATTCTTTACACAGCATGAAAACTTCCTTTGGGTTTCCATTCAAGTAGAAAACACTCCCGATTTCATACCGTCGTCCCACAGCAAGCCACAGAATAAGCGAATGCTGCAATATTGCTGTATTATGATGACATTAAGTTATTACAGTGTGAATGCAAGCTTGATGGTATACGTCAGAGAACTGGCAACAGAGTTTTGGAATTCACCTGTGCTGTTAGGCAGAAGTTCAGTCCCTCCCTCTTTATTTTTTTAAATAAGAAAAAAATAGCAATATCGGTATTTGAGAAAAAAAAACCCAGTAATTCAAATTTTACTCATTTGATAGTCTAGAGACTACGCTTGTTCAGTTACCAGTAATTCAAAGGTAGCGGAACTAGCTTTTTGCATTTAAAGCATTGTTCATTTCTAAACCCAAAAAACTGTAAAGATACCCTTTGACAGCATAAACAATCGATGTCATTTGCTCCAGTCTTACGGTTTTGTGACTACTGTGAAATGTGGGGAACTTTAGTCTCTCAAAGTAGCATTAAAAACTGTAGATAAGAAAGATCCAGGGGTGCCTCGCACTGACATCATGCCTCCGTTACTAGTTAAACCAGTTACGCGAGTGCATTTGTTTCAAGGAGATTATCCAGCTGCTTAAAGGCTGTGTTCGGCATGCCCACAGGATCTGGGAGACAGATTTATCATCCCAAATCTGCTTGAAATCAGTCTGCGGAAGAACCGGTCCCAGGACGCAAGGGTGAGGGGGGGAAAAAGAGAAAAAAAAAGTGTAGTACTACCTGTGGACGCACGCAGTTACTACCTGTCATTACAGGCCAAAAACGCTGGCCAATCCCAACACGCGGCCACACCTCCACGGATTAAAAAAACTGGAAGGAGCTACTCAAAAACATATGCTTTCGTGTCATCTGTGTTTTGCAAAAGAAGTGCAGTTCTGCTACTGTTGCGGACAAGAGTGTTTCTACAATGGTTACGGTGCATCACGAAAAAAATCACTGTGTTGGTTTCCGAGTTTGTACCTCTTCCGGAAAATTTTCACTGCAAACAGATCAGTTACAAGAAAGTGTATTGTCTTTGTATTTACCTCACTAGCAAATTTCACCAAGATCGCCGAGTAAGTCAAAACAATCTTACTAGCTCAGATGCAGTCTAGTTCCACAGAAGGGAGAGTTTTTGAACCTGTGCAAGAGAAGCGGACAATTTTATTAAGTTCTACTAGACAAGGAGAGTATTTTAGATTTATTATTCAGAAACCTGAACAAAGCTTTGAATGTGTGCACGTTGACGTACTGCTAGCACCCGGAGAACCAGTCAAAACTGGCATCTGTCGTTAGTTCAGATAGTATTCAAGCATAAAACGGTTGGTATACTAAACAGTAAGATTAAAGTAAGATTAAACTAAAGCCTTAGATAAACAAATGTCATAGGCCCGTTACAGACTTCTAGGTCTGCTACAGGTATACAAGTAGTTCCAAAGAACAACATAAAGGTAACTTAGTATGTACAGATCTTAAAATAAGAGTCAATTGCCTAATGCGTTTAGCGATATTTCAACAGCATCTCTTCTCTGACCTCCTCTTCTACGTACTCCTGTTGGAGCCACACCTGCTCCTTTTTAGTTTTCTCTCCTTTCTACAGTTGTGCAAGTCTTGAGCAGCCTGTCAGCCAGCCTCCCTTTTCCAATCAGCATTCATTTAGATGGGTTTTTTGGTAGCCTGACATATGGGCGGAAACATAAGACAATGAAATTGTAGGACTCGCGTTTTGCCCTGACGCTAGTTCATGCATTTTTAAAAAAAAAAAAAAAAAAAAAAAAAAATCTTAAAGCACAGTATATATTTTACTTCAGTGAATTTTAATACCCTTCTGCAATCAGTACAATTCGTTGTGAGGTAAATAACTTACTTATTTCCTCAGAGCCTTCTTTTCCCATTGAAGTAATCACAAGGTTGAAAGGATCAAAATTCTTGTCAAGATTTAGCAGATACAGTTACGACAGTTAGTGATTGGTAGACTAAGTCAAACTACTATAAAGACAAGTCAGTTAAGTTATTAATAACCTCTCTCACGACTAAAAGAATTGTTTTCAAAATAGTATGACCCGAAAGTGAAATTAAACTCATCTTTCTAAAAATTAGTAAGATTTAAAGATTCCAACAAACATCATGGTACTGTCTTCCCAACTTGTACTGAGCAGGAAAACAGGAGTCTGCTTGAATGGATACTCTACAAAAAGTTTGGGGTTTATTTATTCACTTATTTAAAAGACCCTTCCTCCGACTGAAATCTTTCACTGACACAAGAGAGGCTGACAGTCCATTAATTAAATGTCAGAACAGTAAATTAATTCTCTCCATGAATACACACTGTAAGCAGAACTGTACACTTGATACTCCCCCCCCTTTTTCCCCTCTATATATCTCATTTTTCAGGATTGTTTGCTATTTTTATTTCACCAACAAATGTCATTTCCAAATATAGACAATTTTCTTCAATGCCCTGGTACACAGGGAAATGTCTCAGGAACGTGTGCTGTTTTAAACCCAGTAAACCTAGTTTCAAGTTTCTCATTTGCCCTTTAACTACTCTTTCCTTTTCCTCTGCACTTGAAGATCTAACATTCTAGTAAAAATGATTCTTCACACCATTTCCCAATACCTGAGCACAACCACTTAAATTCTTGCTCTAATTTTCAACAACAGGCATTCAGAAAGTACTTTAAGATCCAAGGTTCCAGCATAATATCCGTTTTTTCAGCCACTCTACCTCAATAAAACTGTGCTCACTTCAATTTTTCTTGTCAGTGTTCTGTTGCGGCGAACAGAATTCTAAGAACTCAAGGCCAGCAAATGCAATTAAAGTGTAAATACTGAAAGCTTTGCTAACACATAATGGGTGTTGAAGATCTCTGTAGAAACAGTCAAACTGAAACTACTGGATCAATTAAGCAAAGGCACGTGCCCTACTTTTACTAATACTTTTGAGTACCTTTAAAATAAAAAACTATTTTAATGATTAAGACAAGCTTTAGTTATTTTATCCATTGCTCTAATCTTCAGAAGCTCAACATGTTATACATATATACACTACAAGGAAAAAAGTTTTAATTATCTCTGCTTCATTAAAAAAAAAAAAAACCCACCCCAAAACAGTATTTCAATACAGAACTCTCAAACACCAATATGAAGAAAATACTAAATACTTTGAACAGTCTTAACATTTTTATGGCTTTTGATAAACCAGAGCCCTCAATTTTTCTGGGCAGATGCAAAATTTACCACCTGGAAGGCAGCATAAAGAGCTAACTCCAAGACCTTAGCTAACCGAGACACTGAAGCAAGAAACTGTACTTTTTCTTTGCCACTCGAATTACGTTAAACTTCCCCCAACCCAATGCTTTCCTACTGCACTAAAAGGCAGGGTAGATATTTTGACATTCATATAAAACCAATAAAGAACAGAAGTAAGCTGAGATGCAGATGGTAGTTGATAGACTACTGATAGGCAGTTAACAGGCTACAACACAAAATGGCTAGGAGCGATGCAAAGTTAGTTTACCACAGAAGGGAGTAACAATTAACAAGTGCGCTGGAAAGTGCCTGACTGCAGGATACCCTTTGTTCTGATGTTCTCTTAATAGACAAAAGACAACCGGTTAAAACTACTGCCGAAGCCTCACTGCTCTTCCTTCGTAAACTGTGTTTCTCCCCCCTTTCTCACAAGTCCCTTTTTTATAAGAGCTAAGGTCTTTATGACAGAAGCCCTACTTCTTACGAAAAGCAAGCAACTTAGAACTTCTAACGATTCAATTGTGTCACCTAAATCTCTTGCAATTCTCCCTCCTTTCGGAGGGAAACAACGCGCTATTACTATTTTATGGTCCTCAGCATCCAGTTTTGGAGGACGTCTTACAGAAATCTATTTTCCTTTTGCACATCTATCGAAGAGGCCTCTTGTCAAGCCAACATTCCAATGAAGACTGGATGTTCATCTCCAGATTTCACCAACAGTTTGTCTCCTTAACAAGAATAGGCCGGCAGTCCCTAATTTTTTTTTTTTGTTTGCTTTGTTACAAATGCCTCAATTCTCCTCGTCTCAACAGCTTAGAGTTGCTGCCAGGTGGTTGAGTAGAATCACTAACATACCGCCTTAGGTGACTCAAAAAATAAATACTACAAATTTGAGCAATCGCTTCTCCATCCCTTCACCAGTCAGTAGCAGCAATAACTGGCACAGACCCATCAGTGTTCCACTACAATACAGATTTTCAACAAACCTTAAGTTTTATCAAAAAAGCACAGTTCAGTTGCTTTGTTGATGAAAGTGCATTAGAGTTCCTGTTTCTCTCCACCAACCCCAGTGGAGTCAGACGCAACAGGAACTTTATTACTTCCAGCAAAAACAGAATCAAAAGCAGCTTCCTGCTCCTCTAAAGTCACAGCAGCAGCGGATCCTCTAACAGATGTGCTGGTAAAGGCTGGCCGTTGCTCTGTAATCCTCTCCAGGTCCACTGTTTTCCTACCTCTTCTTTTGCCCAGGATTTTGATGTAGTTAGCTGGCACGAGTCCTGTTGCTTGGCCATCATAACTAGCCAAAAGCCAACCACGGATCTTGGGTTGTTGTTCTGAAGAAGAAAACGCAAATGCGTTAAGCACAAAACAATTCAAAATGTATTGCAGCTGAGGCACAAATACACCAGGAGGGAGATGACACAACAGCTCATCACGCAGAGAAAATAACTCTGTGATAAAAGGCAAATACAAATTACTTCACAAGAGAAATTACTAGGATCTGCACTGGTGAGGTGAGCCGAAAAGTACTGTGAAGTGCAAGTTGTTTTGAAATCGATGACACCACCATACTGCAAATGCCTAGGGATCTTCACAGTGTGAGGAAAAGGTAACCACAAGGGTAACCACAAAGCACACTCTGAGTAAGTTTAGGCTGTGTCATATCCTAGGGAAATTGAACAAAACTACTCAATAAGTTTTATTACAATGCAAGTAATAACTTATGGGGGGGGGGGCAGAAATCAGCGTGGATGAGGAGTTTGGTCAAATAAGGTGGGTTTTTTTTGTTTTCATTTTCAGACTCTAACAACATGACTTACTTCACATGATTAGAAAATAAATACAAAATTAGAAGTTTACCTTTGGGTGCTAATTTTAGCATGTCACCAGCACGGAAAGAAATTTCTTCTTCTGAGAGAGCACTGAAATCATATTCTGCTCTTCCAACTACATGATCATCTTCTCCACTCGCCCAGTTACTAGATGCTGTTTCCAAAAAGAAATTAAAAGTTTATCTGCTTTGAATTATGAACTTTAGTGGGATTTTTAAAGGAAAATGAAGAAAACACTTCAACTTCCTTGCCAAAACTTTTCCAACAGAGAACTGACAGGAGTAACAAACAAAGCATGATTTCTTGAGTCAATCCAACCAATTCTTTTCCCCCCACCCCAACTGCCACATCTAATACAAAGGAAACAGAAATAGAAAGGAACCACGATTTTGGAATCGCACAAAGCTTACCATGAAACTGCATCCTTACTCAACAACAGGCTACTTAAACAGGCTGTTACTTGTATCACATGCCTAAAATTCAGTATTGTATGCCAGTATCTATTAAATTCTGTTACTGCAGTATCCAGTATCTATTAAATTCTGTTACTGCAGTGCAAGATTAATCTCTATACACGTGGTAACAAAAGGAACAATATATGCTGCACTTCTCTCGTGCTGCAGATCATCTTTACCTGTTTCTTCGTCGCTGTACGTAGAAAGCAGTTTCCAAATCAGGTAGGGACCTCCCATTATAACAGCAAAGAACAAGAAAATGGGCCAGGATTTTGCAGAGTTAGCCGCCTTGTCTTCAAGGCGAACGCGAGCTACTGTCCCCTCACTTTCAGCCCACAAATCCTCATTCTCAGAGCTCTTCCGCAGACCTAGCAATCGTTGTAGACGTTGGTAGAGATATCTTATAGTTCTCACTAAAGCAAAAGCTGAAAACACCTTTGTGAAGTGTACTTTGAGGCGGGAGAAGTGATTGGCTACATCCAACACAGCTCTGAAACTGTTGTACACAGCTGAAAAGGTAGCATCCATCATCATGCTGACTGAGGCAAACGCATGCACAATACTTTCAATGGACTGAAATGCACCTCTGCTGCTCTCTTCAGCCTGCTGAACAAACCTGCTGGGAGGAATATCATCTGTACGAAAGCGGTTATAACCCAAACCACCATATCCGTAACTGTAAGGACTATAGCTTCCATAAAAAGAGGTTCCATGTGAACCATACCCTGGAGAAAAAGAACTACTATATGCTGGCCTGAAAGCGCTCAGACTACTGCTTCCCGTTTGCTGTGATGGTCTTGGCAAAATAGGCGGAGGTATTCGTGCAACTGTGGGTTGTCCGGGCCTTGTCAGCACGTTGTCACCCAAGTCAGCAGACCTAAACAAATTCAGACAAGCAAGATCAATACTCAAAATAAGTTTATATTTTCATTTCCCCAGAGTTCTTGGTTAACTATATAAATACGACAGTGCGTTTCAGTAGTGGTAGGATAGGGAACCTAGTAGACAAACACTCACTACGTTGCACAACGTTTGTGTGAAGTAAAAAATCTAGTCAGGAAATACAGGTCTTTCGGGGGGGGGGAAAAAAAACATAATGAGATATTCAGTGTAAATGTGGAACCACAGCATATCTGAAATGTACATATGGAAAAACTTTCAGTCTATTTATTGTACTGACTAAGAAAGCATGAAATGCTACATCTAGATCCATCAAATCTGATGCTATAACACCTAGGTCATTTTTCTGCACACAAAAGCCTCTCATATGCACTACCAAGGATAATTATGAACTTTGCAATCTGAAAGCTGCATTTCCAATATTTGTTCTCAGCTGTTCCATACAATGAGCCAATGACAGAGCAGGAAGGAACTTTGACAGCTCCTTTGAATCCACCCTTAGAGAAAAGGGTGGCATGACCTAATTGAGAATCCAAGGCATTATACAACAACACATGCAAGGGTTTTGGGTCCCCCAATTCTCCCCTCTACCCAAACTATCTAATTACCTTTATGTAGCATGTCAAGGGATTGAATTTATTACTGTTAACTGTTGGCAGAAAGAGGTATTATGAGTCAATTATTTGTTTTTAATTTAGTAAACTTTTATTCCTTGGTATGCCCATAAGTTTAAGTCATTCTATGTATGCCCTTCGTAATAAGAGTCTGCAAGTACTAGACTGGTATTTGAATTCTGTCAAGCAGCTGTCTGACTTTCGCGGTTTCATTAAAAAGTTAATCACAAATTATCATCCTACAAGTCATTTCCCATGTTTACTGCCCCACGGCATGACCTTCCACTTCTGTGGTCCATTAAATTCACAGAAAAAAATAGAAGAAAAAAAAGTCAATTTTGAATTGCTACGGAGCTGCGTCTTTCTGCACTGCTTTCAATGGGAAGCATGCTTGCTCTACTGTTTCTGTATAAGGTAGGGAACAACTTTCTCTCAGCAAAACTTAGAGGTTTCCATAGCAAAGAATAATATTTATATCTTTACACTGTTTGTTTTTTCCATCAGAGACTTTAACTCTCTTAGCAGTTAAAAACAGAAGCAAAAATAAGTTATTATCACAGAAAACAGAAGTACTGTAACTTACTAACTCACACTACGCCCCCCTCCCCAATAGTCAACTTAGGACACCTCACTTTAAAGCTGCTTGAAGCAATTTACAATGCGCTAGATAACCCCACCAAGAAAAACTAACATCAAATTTCTCGCTCAGCAAGCTTCAGCTTGCAGTTTCAGCAGAAAAGTTTCTGTTGAATGTTTAGTCTTGAGCTAACCTTTTGCCCAGTTTCAGCTCACTCTAACTGCAATCGCCAGCACCAAATGAAAAACAAGACTGATCTTCAACTGCCAAGCTTTCCTTCCTGATAAAAAGGAAGGAGTTTACAAACACTTTCTGTTCAACATCCTTCTCCATCAGCAGGTTGGATTTTCTGGAAAAACTCAGATTCCCGGCTGAACACACCAGCGACGGACACACACATGCATCTTTTCCAGTTCCTGGGGACAACGCACCGCTTCTCCACTCCCCCAGAGGCACGCACGCTCTCACAGCTACATAATCCCCAGGAACGGACACCCGCACTCTGTCCACTCGTGGCAACGCGTGCAGCTTCACCTTCACCACGTTAAACATGCAGCTGTCTACAGCCACAAGTAGGGTTGGAGAGCAGTACCTTTCAGGAGCCTCTCACTCCCTCTCCCCGCCGAGAAGGGGAATCCACCGGAGACCCCTCCCCGCCCGGGACACGACCCCTCAACAAAGCCGGGCAAACGACCCCAAACCACCCCAGCAGATAACCCAAACCCCCTCAAGCTCTGCTCGACCACTAGCTCGCGGAGGCACTGCCCGGCTGGGCCCGACCTTTGAGCTCGCCTCAGGGGAGAAGGCCAAGGCGGGAGGCCCGGGGGGGGGAAGCGCAGCCGCCCTGAGGGGATGGACACCCAAAGCAGCCCCAGGCAGGCGCGACCGG